TACCTCGTGACACTTCCACTTTGCACACAAACCAGTGGTTTTCAACATTTTTGCAAAACTTGGAGCTGGAGGGCCTGATTGTGCATCAGTCAGGGTGCAAGATTAGCTTGCATCCGACCTGGGTTCTACCCCCAGCACCACATGGTCCCCGAGCATCACTGGGTAAAACCCAGAGGCCCCCAGGTACTGCCAATGTAGTCATGGGAATTTCTGGCACCAGAGGGCCTGTGCAGCAAATCTGTTCTGTCACCCCAGAATGCCATTTCCTGAACCCTTTTGCCCTCTCCCCAGCCCTCTAGCCCAACTACTGTGATTCTTCCTTTAAAACTCAATTCTGATATAACGGTCACCAGGAAGCTGTGCTACCCTTCCCCAACCCTCCCATTCCTATTACCCATGAACTCCACAAAACGCAGAACTCACGAATAATCATCACACATGGCTGGGCTTGACCCCTCCCCACCCACCATCACAGTGTTGGGATGAAGGGCTTCTTCCTTTCTGCACCTCCTCGGCCAGCCTGCAGAAGTGGACTGCATCTGGCCAGGTGGCCGGAGGAGCTTCCTGCAGGGGTCTGTCCTAGTGCCTCTGAAGGAGGCTGAGTTAGTGCCAGGATTATCCTTGGGGAGCACACCCAACAAAACCCAGCACCCCCCCCCCGCCCCAGGCTATCTCCCCCAGGCACAGCGCTCCTCAGCCCCCACTACAGATTATGAGTTTATACTCAGACTATAGTCCCCACACAGCAATACCCACAGAACTTTCTGAGAAAAGCAGAGCGTCAGAAACACCTAAACTAGCATCTGCATTCTAATAAGATCCCCAAAGGAGTCATATCCCCAAGAATAAAGGAGATAGCCCCCACCCATGGCATCCCAACAGATTCTCTTCAACCTTCAGGGTAACTGGAATGAATAGCGTTGATAATGACATCTGCTAAGTGCTTTCTGCAGAGGTACTCAACCTTTTATGCCTGTAACTGGCATGAGTCTGCACACACTCTACAGACCACACAGTGGAAAATCACCGAGACAAACCAACGGCTTTCAATATTTTTGCAAAAAATGGAGTTGAAGGACCTGATGATCACCATATAGCAGTTAGGATGCAAGAGTAGCACACAACCGACCTGAGTTCTATCCCAACATCACAGGGTTCCCGAGCATCACTGGGTACAGCCCGAGAGGTTCCCAAGCACTGCTAGTGTGGTCCAGGAAATTCCCGGCACCAGAGGGCCCGAGCAGCTTCGCATCCTCAGACCTCTGAACTGAAGTGCCTGCCCGGTTTGCCAGAGAACTGCCATAAGTTCACAGAGCCCCCTGAGTACCACTCGGGAGGCCCAAAATAAATAAACAGGAGCACTTGGGCTCTGGCAGGTGCTATTTGGGGGGGACCCTAAATTAGCAAGGATTGAGTTCAAGATGTCCCACATGCTATGCTATGTGCTCTACCCCTTGAGCTGTCTTTTTACATATTTTCAACCTTCTTATATAGCGAAGTGGCAGCAAGCCTCAGATCAGAAGTTGAAAACCACTGCTCTGCATTACTGAATCCTCAGAACAACTTGATCCCATTTTACCAATGAGGAAACTAAGCTCAGAGCGGCTAGGTAGCTTGCTCAGAATCATACAGTTCTGATGGACTCCAGGGCCACAAGCCCCCACACACCATAATGCATCCTGCCTCCTGCAGCCTTCTGAAAACACTCATTCAGCCTTCCCATCTACTCGGCCAGCTCCAGACACCTTCCACCCTTTCAGACAGCCGCTGACCGGGTGCTTCTCTAATTCCACCCCTTACTCCACACAACACCACCTTTCCACTTACACCCCATCCCCAAGAGATTACCAAGAGCCACTCGGTAATCTTATGGGCTTGCTCAATCGTTGTTTGACGTGTCAATGAGAGTATTTCCCTTCTGATCATCAAACACCCAGCTGAGGTGGGTGGGACAGCTGTGATGAAGTAAAGAAGGTGAGAAGATGGAGGTTCCCAGCTAAGGTCAGCACCAGACCGCACGCAGGCACCAAGAAGCCTAGGCATACAAACGGATTCCTGGACTCCCAGTGCAGATCTCCTCCCCCCCCCATCCTCCCATTCTCCCCATCTTTCCTGCCTTGGACCTCTACTACCAGGCACTTCATAAAAGCGTTACTTTCATATAACTCCCCGCAATAGGCATTTTCAAAAGGGGTTCTTCTCGGCTACCAGATTGGCCAAAGAAAAAGGTAAGGGGGAGGGTGGTCTGCACACCAGCTCCACTGGGACCCCGGAGTTCAAGGAAAGGCCCTGCAAGAGTCTTGATGACCGAAGCTGGTCCAAGCACTCACAGTCCAAGCCAGGAAGGCCCAGCAGCTGGAGAAGCACCCATACTTCTGCCCAGGAACACCTGACCCTGCAACCAGCAGCCCTGTTTCCACTGCTCAAGACAGCTTTTCCCTTCCTTTTCCTGGTCTTAGCACAAAGCTTAAGGCTTTGAGCCAGTGGAGGAATAGGTCGGGATGGGAGATGTGTGCAGAAAGTAGATAAAGGACCAAACATGATAACCTCTCAGGTCTGTATTGCAAACCATAATGACCAAAAGTAGAGAGAGAATATGGGAAATCATGTCTGCCATGGAGGCAGAGGGAGGGTGGGAAAGGGGGGTTATACCGGGGATATTGGTGGTGGGGAATGTGCACTGGTGGAGGGATGGGTGCTTGATCATTGTGTGATTGTAACCCAAACATGAAAGCTTATAACTATCTCACGGTGATTCAATAAAATTAAAAAAAAAAAAAGACCTTGAGCCAGCTCCACAAAGGAAAGCTGAGCTTGAAATGTGCAAATGGAGGGTGGGGGAGGGGAGGTCTATTTCCCTCCCATGAGAAAGGCAGAGTCCAGAAATGAGATGCTCAGCCCTATCAGCAACTCTCCTGCCTGGTTCTGCTTTCCTGAGACACCCAAGCGCCATGCCACCCCTTCTTTGGGCACTGTGTGTGCTGCCCAGTCCCCCCAGGACTGGGGGCCTGACTGCAAAGTGCGGTTTGCTAACACCACAGAAGGAAGCCCCGGGCATACGGATCCCAGGCACATTCGGGGCCAGCACAGGCTGCTGGCGCTGATGGCATCAGAACCGGAAAGGGAAATGGTGGTGCCAGTGAGAAGAGAATCGCTTTAAGGAAAACCTGGTTAACGGAAGGAAGCCAGACATCACAGGGCAACAAGGGGCTGGGGAGATGGCTTAAGGGGCTGGACTTCATACTCTCTGCATGCGGGTGCCCTGAGTTCCATCCCGAACATCAACAGGACTGACTCTGGAGCACCAAGGCAAGAGTAAACCTCGAGCATCACGGAGGTGTGGCCCAGAAACCCTCCCCCCAAAGTGCCTTCAAATAAAATATTAAGAAAAATATCAAATGAGAAAAATGCGCCAAGCACGGTGCAGTGGAGGTCATCGTGCCACGCCACCATGTGAATCTCAGGAGACAATGAATGTCACGCCCCGAGTGTCTCCATCAAGGACAAGGGAACGGACTATTTATACTCAGGCCAGTGGCTCTCAGTCACGGGAATAAGTGCTCCCAGGCAGACACTTCTCAGCTCAGCTGCCGAAGCTCTGTCCTCTGAAGAACAGCGGCTGGCAGCTGGGAGAGAAAGACTCCTGAGCACCAACGTGCACAACGGCAACGGGGTCCTAGGGGCCTCTGCACAGTCCTGCAGTCCTGCCGCCCCTGTGTCCTTCCACAGCTGCCTTTGTACCCAAAGTCCAGCCCTGCCCCACTAACACACCTCACCAGCCCTTAGGCTGCCTGGAGTCCTCAGCACCTCTTTCCTTCCTCCTTTTAGTTCCCCATTAAAAAAAATTATATATATATATATATATATATATATATATATATATATATGCTCCAAAGACCTTTGCAGCCTACTAAGAATGGCTGGCTAAGACTCTTGCAGAAACCGTTTTCTGCTGCTCCCCCACCCCCACCCCCAAACACACAAGCGTCTTCTGCCCCCGCCCTCCCCCCACCCCCCAGCCATCCACACGGTACACCGAAAGGCTTTTCTGCAGTGGGGCTGCCCTCTCCTTTTCCCCTTCTGAGGTCTCTGCTTCTTGCTACCTTGGCCCTTTGAGGACAAACCCCATGTCCAGATGCCTCATTCTCAGTGATCCAGATTGTGAGCCCCAAGCCCCGTTCTCCGTAAGCAGCAGCAGGGACCGACTTCACAGCACCCAAAACACTCCTCCGCGCAGAGACCGCCTAGTGGCAAGCCGCGTCCTAAAAGACGGGGGCTGCGGGGGTGTTGACAGGTCCAAGGTGAGAGCAGTCGCCTCGGGCAAGGCATCGTCAAATAATGAAGGGGAATGGGATGCACAGGGATGGGGGAGTGACCGTGGTCGGGAGGCAAAAACAACTGAGTTCCCTCCACAACTTCTCCTCGCCCCCCAGTCCCAGAAGCCCGATACTCTCGCAAGCGGAGGGCGGGGTGTGTCTCCGGAGAGTCTGCCCAGCACCGAGACTGTGTCCTCCCCGCCTGCTCAACACCTGCCCCGGGCCGGGAGCGCACGGCGCCCCTGCGACGCGACCTCAGAGAACCAGCGGACCGGCGAGTTCACCAACTCCTGTCTCCGGGGCTCCGCGGCTGGCGCCTGACCCTGCGTTTTATTCCAGGCGTCTCCTGGGGTCTGCGGGGTGGTGGGGGGCAGGGGGTGGCTCCCTACGACTCCTCCGACCGCGCCTAGCGACCACCCACGAGGAGGGGGAGCTCAGGCTCCGACCCCCGCTCTCGACAGGTGCGCGCGCGCGGAAGACGCGGCGGGGGCCCGACCCGGGACACGCGGCCCCCCGGGAAAGCCCGCACCCACGCCGGCTGGACGCCCCCGCGTCTGCCCGGCCAGCAGCCGCTCGGCTCTGCGAGTTCCGCAGGTGTAGACACACATACACACACGCACACGAACCGGGAGGCACCGACAGCCACGCACACACGGCGACCCCGAACGGACGCTCCGCACTTACCCGGGGCGGCACGCGCGGGGCCGCCGGGGAGCGGCCGGGCCGGGGGCGCCGGCGGCGGCGGCGGCTGCGGCGGGCGCGGGGCGGGCGCGGCGGCGGGCATGGTGCGGGCGGCAGCGCCGGGCGCCGGGCTCGACGGCGAGAGGCGGGGCAGGCGCGCGCGGGGCCGAGACGGCGCCTCCCTCCGGGCCCGCCCGGGGACGTGTCCGGGGGCGCGGGCTTAGCAACCGCACGGTCGCCCCGCCTCGCCCCGCCCCGCCGCCAGCCGCGCGCGCCGCGCGGGCCCCCGGAGTCGGGGCGGGGCCCGCTGCAACCTGCGTGGGCGCCCACCGCTCCGCCCCGCGCCCGGAGCGACCCCCCCGGGGCGGGGACCGTCGGGGATCCGGCTCCGACCCCTGCCGCAGCAGCCCAGCTGCCAGTCCTACCTTCCCAGATCCCGCAGGGCTCACGCCTCCCCGCAGGTGCACGCTGGAGCCCGCGGGGATGGAGTTTGAACATCCCTGGACCTGAGCGCCGCTCCTGGCAGGTCAAAACTCGGGCTCTTTCCCTGTCCCTCTACTATTTCCCCCCTTCCCGCTCACGCATCCCCGCATCCTTGGGACCCCGAGATCCCCAGCTCCCCGTGTGCTTGAGGAGCCTCCAGGTCCGCAAGCCCCGTGTCCAGGACCCCGCGCGATTCGCTTGATTCCTCTTAAAGGTCCCCTGAAGACCCAGCCTCTTTTCAGGTTTCCAAGCAGCGTCTCCGACTCTGCCGCCTCTTTCTCCTCCCAAAGGTTGCAGAATGGCCGCGGCATCCTCCTGAAGCCACTGTGTGGAAAAGCTTCAAGCTGGTTTGATGATCAGACAACTAGGGTGATCAGGTTGAACAAAGTGTACAATAAAATGCCCCCAAGTCACCTCTAGAGTGAAGAAAGACAGATCTTGACACTATCAAAAATGGTGGGGAAAAGGGGGAAGGAGGAAAACGAAGCCAAGAAGGGGAAATGGAGAATATTGTTATTTTAAGTTGGGAGTCAGGGATGGTCTCCTGGGCAGGATGACATTGAAGCAAAAGCCCACCGAAAGGGCTTATTTGGAAATTAATCTTGGGGTTAGTATCTCCCGCTACTGAAGTGCTTGCCCGTTTGGCTGGGAGCACACTAGACGGTGCTCAGGGCTTGCTCCTGGCTGGGTACCTGGTCAAGGGTCACTCCTGGCGGTGCTCAGTGACCATCTGTGGTGCCAGGAGTAGAACCTGGCTCTGCCGATTGCAAGGCAAGCACCTTAGCCTGTATACTATCTCGCCAGACCTGAAATGTATTAAGAAGACTTTTCCAGACACTCTCTCTGGCCTAATCATTTACATCTTTTTTTAATTTTTATTTTATTTTATTAGTGAAGCACCATGAGGTACAGTTGTAGATTTACAAATCTTTGTGCTTAGGTTTCGGTCATACCATTTACATCTTAAGAACAAATAAAACTTAAACTGCTTTTTTGTAAAAGAATTATTAGTAGAGTTAAAATGGAGTGACTTATATTTTCTTTCTTTCACAAGCTGCAGACAAGAGGTATTTAATTACTAACCGGTTTATCATCATTTAAATGTGCTTAGAGGGGTCTGGAGAGATCATATCGACTTAAGGCCTTTGCCTTGCACATGGCCCACCCAGATCCTAGTTGACACAGCACATGGAGTAAACCCTGAACACCTTAGGGGTGCCCCCTCCCCCTAAATAAATGCTAATTACATACACAAGGTGAATGCAAAGAACAACTTGTTTAAGTAACCAGATTACCTGACAGCAGTGAGAGGTCATTGTGAAGCAATATATAGGAGCACCTGAAAGAAATGTCTAGTCACAGACAGAATACCTCATTTCCCTTTCTGACCTGGTAATGGTGCTCAGGGGGTTCAAGCCCCTGTCCCACTTCCCCATCCCAGTAATTTTCGGTCATCCCAGCTGGTGACTCAGTGCAAGGATGTGCTGCTGTGCTAGGGATACCTGAGCCACACCCAGGGGTGCTCAGGGGGGCTTGAGGGCTACATCCTGCCATGTTCAGGGGACCATATAGTGCCAGGAATCAAATCCGGGCCAGGTACATGCTTCTTAATGCTGTACTATCACCTATCCAGATTGCAGTATTTATCTCAACACACAGCAACTGGAATAAAAAACATATTTCTTAGCTTTTCCTGCAGGCAGGAAAGCCAGTGAAGTTTCAACTCAATGAAGTAGAACTAGAATTGTGGAAAGTTTCAGAAGGGGTCCTTAAAAATGCAGATGAGTGGGGCCAGCGAGGAAATGCACTGAGGGTTAAGGCACTTTCCTTGCATGTGGCCAGCACCGCATATGGTCCTTGAACACCAAGGAATGACTTGGGCACAGAGCCAGGAATAATCCCTGAGCACCGCCAGGTGTGACCTAAAAATAAAAAAAATTAATAAAAATAACTAAAACAATTTAAATGCTGATAAGTGCATTTCTTTTTCCCTTCTTTGAGTCTCTGGGATTCAGACAAGATGTCTGAGGTAGTTTAAATTGCTACTTTCAACACTTCACTCCACCTCTGGAAAAAAAAAAGAACATCTTTTGTGATACCTTTGTGATACATGTAGTATGTATCTCTGACCTTGGCTCTAGATATGGCTGACTTACTTTGGCTTATGGATACTCTTGGACATCATGTGAACAGAGCCTCGGAATGTAGAAAGGTGGTTTTTATAAAGGCTTGTCTCCTGCCAGTATCAGAGTCTTACTGGTCTGAGAAGAAGCAGGAGAAACACTCAGCTGACAGGAGTATACAGCTGCAACTAAATCCAGCCATCCTGTAGCCTGATGCACAGCCACACCATCTATGGGTGAAATAAGTATCCACTGTTAGAAGCTGCAGAGATGGGGCTGTCTTATTTCTCAGACTTATTGGAGCAAGAGCTAGCTAACATGGTGGACTGTGGCTCCCGGAGCCAGTTTGGCAATCTTGAAGGCAGAAGTCAAGTCCTCAAGTTGGCAGGGCCAGAGAAGTCTGAGTTCCATCTGATCTTCAGTTCACAACTTTGGACTTCTCTTTTAAGAGAGAGAAATTCTTTGTATATTTCCACTATTGGAGTCAGTCTCCTACGATTCCTTGTTCTAAGATGTTTTGAAGCACTGTCTATGAAAAAGCACTTCTTTTTCATATTAAGCAAGACATCAATCCCACACATTTGCAGTACTTTAAGGTAAAATGTGAGACTGAAAAGAAACTCCTGCTTGTAAACTGAGCCGCTGTACAGGCAACTCATGCTGCAAAGCTGAAGCCTGGGCAGTCCAGCCCAAGTGTCAGAGCTCTTTGAGGTTGCAAGTGAGCAAAATTCACTCAAGCAGGCCAGGTTGATTGTCAGGCAGCACAGGGTATTTTAAGAATCGCTAAAGAAATCCCCCAGACATCTGAAAATAGATTGGCTACCACCTGAGACATTATTCCTCCACAAATGTCCCCCACCGTCACTCTTAATCTAGTTTCCCAGGGAGAGGATGTATTAGATTCTAAGCAGCCCACGTCAAAGCCTGGCCAGCCACTGGAGTAGATGCTTTGGGGAACTGTCCTTTCTCTGGACTGAGAGCCCTGGCTCCGTGGGAAAGAGGCTAGAAGAAATGAACTTGAAGCCTGGTACTCTGAGGCTATGCATAGGACATTGGCTGCTGGGGGAGGGGGGGGAGAATTACTTATGGATGACAGCGAAATTGGCGTATCCAGGACAGTTAGGTAAACTTTGTTGAGGGGGCTGGCAAGATTTTTCAGAGCTGGAATCTAGATAGACTATCACGGGGGGGGGGGGGGGGGGGGGGGTTAGCAGAGGCTTGGAGAATTGTAAAAGGATGATGGAAACATCAAGAGAAACTCCCTGTGATTAGCAGTAGCAGAGATAACTCCAGGCAGATCTAAGGAGACACATCATCATTCTTAACAAATTCGCAATGTGTTTTACTCAGTGACACTTTTCATTTCTTCCCATCATATTATGAGAACATTTCTCCATGCCTGTCTGCCACCCTGTTGTCTACATGTCTCCCCTTCTTTCCCCAGCTAGGCCTCTTGAGAAAATGTCTTACATTTCCTTTCCTCTGTGGAGCTTCCCAGGATCTTGCTTGTTTCCTTCCTGCAATGCTAATGACCTCTTATCTTCCAGAGTCTGGGAGGGTAATCCAGTGTTTGCTTTCCTTCATCTTACTCCAGCCTGTGACTAATCTTCATATGCTCCTTGGAATTCCTTCCTCTCCTGACTTCTATAGCACTAGTTGTACTTGAGTCTACTTCATCTTTTTGAAGCAAACATTTACATTGCTTTATGGGTCTGCCTTCTTTTTTGACTAGACTTCAGTTGTGTTTTCTCAGGGCTTTCTTATCGTCTTCATAAGGCACTCCCTGGTTGATGTTATCCTGTCCCTTGGATTCCAGTCGTGATGGGTTTTCTCTCATTGTTGCCAATAGACAACTCCTCTCAGACCTCTCCAAGGCGCCTCTTTCAACGTCTAAAACAAAACACATCATCTTTCCTCACAGATTTGTTCCTCCTGCTACATTCTAGGTATTTTTTTTTAACTCACCCGCACAAGTCATAAAGTCTGGGATGAATGTCAATTCCATATCTGACATACCATATATTTGGAATGTCAATTCCAAATCTTCCTTCTCCTCTTCCTTTCTCCCCAACTCTCAACCCTTGTTTGAAGTTTCACAATCAAAGCATCTCCCCCTTACATGATTACATTCTATCCATCCTTACTCCTGCTTCATTAGCCTTGCTGGAATAAAGGAAGTATTTCTCCATATTTATCTAGATGATTTAAAAATTTTTGGTATTTAAAACCCTTCAGTGACTTCAGGTTTCCTGCAAATTTAAAGGATTTAAATCTAAATACTTTAGAATGATCCTCGGCTTCTGATTCTTTACACTTGTCCACTCTCGTATCCATCCATTCCCCCATGAGTGGATGCTCTGGGTTTCAGCAAGTGCAGATTCCACACTTTAACTTGGCCATCATCTCCTTCCAGATACTGCCCTCCCCACCCCCCACTCCCAGCCCCTAAGCAACTC